GATTGCTTATGAGCCCTCCTTAGCTCTACTTGAAGTGATGTCAAATGTTTCCAGTCCTCGAGGTAGGGTCCCTCATTCTATCCTCATTCTATAGAGGGGGGTGCAGAGCATGAGGGGATGAGGTAGTGAATAGAGAACAAAACTTTCATAAAAAGACTCAACTCTTCCCATCTAACTACATATCTCTCTCTTCATCAAATCTCAGCTTTTCAACAGAAGCCCCTCTATCCCATTCCTGACCACATCACATCTCTAGCTTCTTACTGGAACACACTTACTTCCACGTAGGCAATCAGTTTTCTCATTGTCTGATACGCTGAAATAGTCATTCCTATCTCTATTTCTAAAAGGAAGTAGGTGACACATTGGAGAGAGCACTACTCCTGAGGTCAGGAAGACCTTTGTCTGAATCTGGTCTCACACATTAACTAGCTGTTGTAGTAGAAGAGATAACTTATCATCTATTTGCTTCATTTTACTCAACTCCAAAATGGGGATAATAATATAATAATAACTCCCAGAGTTGGTGTGAAGATAAAATTTCATAATACTTATAAAGCATTTAGCACATAGTAGACCCTATTTGTTTCCTCACTTCTTTGATTACTGTTTTTTTTCTCACACTTTCAGGGTCCTCACTCTATCCTTCTACTTGTCGAAAGCCTTCTCATCTTTCACTATCTGTTTCAGATCTCACCTTAACTCTCTTTTTTAAAGTTTCCTTTCACTTTGGTGGTCAGGCCCACCTCATTTAGAAATACATTCTTCTGAATGTTTCCCAAGTATGAGAATAGGCATTCAATCTTTAACTTCCTCTGCACTCCCCATAACCTGCAGAACAGTGTTTGTTTCAGTCGGGGCTCAATAAATACTGCTGATGAATTGATAGTAACATTTAGAAGTGGGGCAGGAGGAGGTGTCTTGGTGCACAGAAGAAGGGAAGGTTGGGGAATCATCTCTTTGGAAATGGGGCACTATATAGATCTTGACTTGGGATGAAATGAGAAAGGAGAATTGTGAGATGCAATAATACTAGGAAAGAAGGAGGAAGGAGGAAGGTGGTGGTAAATGGATGGGACACTGTATCTAAAATTGAGAAGGTGGGACCTGATACGCAGAACAGTAAAGAGTCACTGGAAATTTCTCAGATGACAAGGAAACAAGAAGAAAACAGAAGAAACTTTGAACAGATGAATCACTTGGCTGAGTAGCCAGATTTCCATATTTCACAAGATGGCAGAGAATGAGGGAGACTTAGAGATGTAACTCCATGATAACCCCAGTCAGGATGAGAATGAGAAGCTATGAAGGTCTTTGTCACTATCACCACACTCCCATACTGTTAACTGTCATTCAGTGTTTAGCAAAGGGGATTACATAATCCTAAATTTTTTTTCCTTTTCAGAATTTACAATAGAGACAAACAATGTTAAGCTGAACAATAAATGTCAATGTAAAATAAAGGTCACAGAGCACTGGGGAGGGGGGTGCAGAGCATTGATTTCATTGGTTTAGTATAGTTCCAGTAAGGAAATTCTTGGTAACAATATGACTGGTCCTGCAACTTCTGCTATCCTAGACATGTCTGGGTATTAAGTATTAAATGACTTACCTAAGGCATGTTGCAGAAGGGTGTTACCCTAGCTTCCTGATTCTAATATCAAATTTCTTTCCACTGAGCCACAATGATGCTTGAGGCAAACATAAGTTAAAAATAAATATAAAGATGTTGGTGCTAACCAAAGAGTGGGGCAAAGATTTAGGTATCAGTGGAGGTAAGCATCAGATACCTGAGGGCCATCTAGGGAATTCCAAGTTGAGACACAGTAGGGCTGGGAAGTTCATTCATCCTGATCAAAGTGGGAAAATTTCCTGGGAAGGGTAGGAATTCAGCAGCATTAGGGATGAGAAGACAGTGGGAAGAGGTAGTTTAGGTACTTGGGAACCAAGGAAGGAAGCTACATGGGAGGGGAAGATAGGATGATGGGAACTTTGAGCAGACGTACCCAAGTATTGCAGAAAGCGTATAGTATGGCATTGACAGTGAGTGGGAATACTTAACTGCTACTCTGTCCCAACCCAAGAGCAGAGGGATGGGGTTGAGGTAGAGGAAAAGGCAAGTAGAGGGTCTACCCTCTAAAACACCTGCCTCCAGCCCCCCTGGGATTCTCTCTCTTATTGGAGGTTCATGGGAAGGCCTCCCAATTCCTCAATATGTCTCCCACTGACAATTTCCCCAATTCTTCAGCATTAGCTGTCATGTGGGGGGCAGTGAAGTGGTGCAATGTATAAAGGATAGGACTTTAGTTCAAATCCTGCCCCAGACCCTAGCTAAGTGAATCTGGATATGCAATTTAACCTCTCCCAATCTCTTTTTCCTCATCTGGGTAAAATGGAGATAATAATATCCCCTACCTCACAAGGTTATTATGAGGATCAAATGATATAACATATGGAAAGCATTCTGCAAATCTTAAAGCACTATATAAATGCTAAGTATTAGCTTGTATTATTAATTATCTCCTTTGTTGTTGTTCAGTCATTTCATTCATGTCTGAACCCCATTTGGGGTTTTCCTGGCAATGATACTTCCATTTCCTTCTCCAGCTCCTTTTACAGATGGGGAAACTGAGGCAAACAGGCATTAAGTGACTTTCCCAGGGTCACATACCTAGTAAGTATCTGAGGTCAGATTCGAACTCAGGAAGATGAGTCTTCCTGGTTCCCAGCCCACTGCTCTTTTCACTGCCCCATCTAGCTGCCTAAACTCTTCTTAATCATTTAATGAGGAACCAAAAAGATCTTGGCAGCTAAAGCTCTGGCCTGAATTGAATAAGATGAAACTCAATAAGGATAAATTTTAAAATCTTATCCTTGAGTTCAAAAGCCAAATTTCACAAGTCCAGCTGGGGAGATATGAGTAGATTGACTGAAAACCTGTGTCAAGGCTAGGCTGTTAGAACAAGGAAACCTATTAAACTTAAAATAACATTCCAACTCTCTGAAGTCACTGGTTTCCTCTTCATACTCCTTAGTTAAGAATGATGGTTTCAGCTCTTGGGAACTGTATCCTTATTATGACATCTAGAAGCGACATACATAGACAGAGGGTGTGGGTATAAATTGACTCTGATATGTTGATTAAAAAGCCTAATTAAGGGGTGAAAAGGGATTGTAATGAGAGAAAAGGAAAGGAGGAGGCAGAAAAGGGTAAATTTTATCACATGAAGAGGCATAAAAACATTACACTAGAGGGAAAGAAGGGAGGGAGATGAGCATTGGTTGAACCTTACTCTCATTGGATTTGGCTGAAAGAGGGAACAAGAAGGACAGTTTCTTGTATTGTTATCAATATCATGAAAGTGGTCATGTGAGGGGATTGAGAGTTAGTCCCTTATAACTGGATCAGCTGAATTTGAGTTTTAATGCCTTGTGGCATCCAAGCAAGGCACCTGGAATCACCTCCCCAGTTGTCCAAACATGGAGCCATGTGGTTTAGCCTATTTCTATTTGGGGTACCTTTGGTTAGTCAGTCCATCAAAAGGAAAAGTTTTAGGGACTTGAACGAATAGGAGTTTTCATTGGGGAGTTAAAGTTTAGTCAATTATAATCAGAAATCTGAATTTTTATGCATTCACAAAGGCCACAAAGAATTGATTTCAAGATCTCCCAAACAGGAAAGAGCCAATTAATTTAGCTCCCTTGGGGAAGTCAGCATGTTGACGACCAAGAGAAATTAAAGGGTTCTGGCCACTGCTGCTCCCCATTCCCTGCACCTACACTCACCAAAAACACTCAGAATACAAATTGCTATTATGAACTCATCCCTACCCCAAGACAACTTAACACTGGCTTTCTTGTCATCTTAGGTTGGCACACAGAGACCGCTGATAAACTCTCAGTTCGTACCTAGGCCTAACTCTAAAGACTAGTCATTTTGGGGGCAGCTAGGTGGCGCAGTGGATAGAGCACTGACCCTGGAGTCAGGAAAACTTGAGTTCAAATCCTGCCTCAGACACTTGACACTTACTGGCTGTGTGACCTGGGGCAAGTCACTTAACTCCATCGCCTAGTCAAAAAAAAAACAACACACAAAAAACAAAAAAACTAGTCATTTTCTAACCAGTACCTGGCCCTAGCTGTGGCTACACCTATGCACCTTCCCCAAAACACAATATCAAGTGTATTTGGATGCTCTGCCACCAGAGTCACAGATTCTGAGAGATGGAGGAAAACTCAGAGGTCTTCATCTCAGATCTGAAGTATGAATTCACTTTATAGCCTCTTCTTGGAAGGCCGCTAATAGAGAGAGAACCCATTGTCATTGAAGCAGTTCATTCAATTTCTGCAGAACCCTCTTTGGTAGGAAGTTCCATCTGACATGTGCTCCCCATCATGTCTGAGTCCTCTGGTACTATTTCTGTCATCTGCAGCCCCAGGAAACAAGCGTATTCTATATTCTGTGTGAAAACACTTTAGATATTTGAAGACAGTCAGTGTATCCTACATGAATATAATCTTCAGAGAAAACATTTCCTGTTCCTTCGATTGATCTTTCTGGTTTCTAACATGCTCACCTTCCTGGTGCCCCTCCTCTAGAAGCATTCCAGCTTGCCATTGCCCTCCTAAAATGTGTCTTCAGAACTCGACAAAGTATTCCACATGTGGCTAGAATAGGGAAGAATGGACAAGAATGATCACACCCTAAGCTCCTTCCTCTAAACCCCACAGTGATGTTCATGAAGCACAATGTTACATCAGGTTTTCTTTGGTTAACTCAATCAGCTTCATTGGCTCACCCTGAGCTTGCTGTCCACTAAAACCCCTAGGTCTTTTTCATAAGAACTGCTCTTGGGACACATCCTGTTGGTGCTATTTCTGGAATTTCAGGTTCTGTTTGTTTGGTTTCTGGTATTCAGGAGGTGGATTCCACCTTGAAACTCTTATTGGCCATTGGACTGTCATCTCCTGAGGAGGGTTCAACAGTATATAATACAGCAGAAAAGAGAGCTATCACAACATCCATCATATCTCAGCTGAATCAGACCAGATTTCTGAACTGAAATACATCTTTGAATTTGGAATGATGGGGCCCCTGATCACTGCCTTCTTCCTGCTGTTGTTTTCAGGGACCACAGTTCTTGGACAGAAGCCTCAAAGTGCCCCTAAACCAGGAAAACGTGAGTAGAGCAAATGGGAAAGAGATGTCTGGTTTGGGAGTGAGAGGTGTGGTGAAATCAAAGAGTAGAGAGGAAATGATTAGATTTAGAGTCAAAGAATCTTTTTCTACCTTGTTAGCTGTGGAACCTTGGGTAAGTGATTTAATCTCTATAGGCCAGTTTGGGAAAATGAGGGCAGAGTAGGGAGTTTGGAATAGATGGCCTCTAAGATACTTTCTACCTCTAAATCTATGAACCTATAAGGAGAGCAATCTCAGAGGCAGAATGGGACTCTCCCCTCAACATGTGCCTTGGTTGCCAGTTCCTGAACTGGTTTTGTGCAGATAAACTCATTGTGCTGGGAGAAAAATTAGGGAAAGAGACAAAGAGAAGGGAAATCCATAGAGCAAGGAGAGACAGAATGGAAAGGACAAAAGAAGCGGCAGGATTCTGAACAGTTACCATGGTACTCCCAAAATACTAGATTATAGATCAGCATCTATTAGGCCCAGAGGTCACTGCTCCTCCATCACCCAGGAGGAAAGGGGAAATGCTACACACACACACACACACACATTCTCTCTCACACACACACACACACACACACTCACACATACACTCACTCACATACACACACACTCACACACACACACTCATGCACACAGAGTCAATAGGTGCACAAGCTTCATTTTTCCTGAGGAATTGCCTTCCTATCTCTAGGTTATCTATCAACCTTTTAAATTTAAGGAAGGAAATGGAGATGAGAACAGAGATCTAGAAAAAGTATTGATGCTACAGACCAGGAAACCTTGCTGTTGAGGCAAAATAAGAATGACACGGTGAGCCTGGCGCACCTTCAGAGATTACTGCATCTCCTCGGAGGCTATGCAGAAGGCACTGTCTGTGTGATGTGCCTGTGGCCATGTGTTATATTAGTGGGGAAGGAGCTGAGTTTGGAAAGAGGAAAGGAGGGCAGAGCCTACGATTTTATGCCAGGAGTCACCTAGAGGTTCCAGCATTCAGTGTGTCATCTCTCAGAAACTACAAAGACATGATGGAAGAGGGTAGGAGTTTGGGGGAGGGAGGTCTAGAGCTCCTATTCTCATGTCTATCAAGCTCTGCCCTGAAGCTCAGGAATGTGCAAAAGCAGATGATGTAGAGAACTTGGAGCTTAGGAAGTAAATGATGAACCATCTGAGGTGGAAATCATGGAGGGGAGGGAAAAGCCCATGCTCCTTGTCCCTTGGTAACCCTGTCAGAGACAGAATCAGAGTAAGAGGACACTCAGACCCAGGAAAGTCATTTCTTTGTTCTTATCTTTGTATATTAATCATACTTTATATTTCTACTGTATAATTTTTTAGAGTTTGCAAGAAGCTTGTTTATAGCAGCCTAAAGGAGTAGCACAAATCAAACCTTGCTTCACAGAGGGAGAAATTGTAGTTTTGAGCATTAAAATGATTTGCCCAAGGTTACACAGGTATTGATTAGCAAAGCCAGGATTCAAACCCAGTTTCTCTAAACCCAGAAGTATTTGTGTCATAGCATACTGTCCTCAAAACCCTGGGTAGTAAGTTATCCCAATGTTACCATTTATAGTTTTGCAGGTGAGAAAGCTGAAGCCTTGAGAGATTAACCGGCTCCCTTCTCACAGTGCCCACTGCTTTTCTTTTCTTTCTTCAAGTCTCCTTCCTTCAAGATGGAGATGGAGGCTGCTCTTCCAGTGGGAGCAGACGTGGCCCAGCCCCTTAGACCAACAATAGGGAAGAAACATAATGGGGCTATGGGGCTGGGAGCTGGGCCAGGGACCCTAGAGATATGAGGTTCATTGAGTACCAGATTCTTCATGAGAAGAATGAGGGGCTTCAGAGAGAATCTAATGAAACGTGCCAGTCAACACAGAATACCTTCTACCACATGCCATACAATGGAATCCAATCTCTGCTTGAATACTTTAGGAGCTACTTTGGAGGGCAGTGCAGTCCATTTTATTTTAAATAAAAATGTAGCATGTTCTTTTTTTTCTTTTTATATTTTTGGGTAGACAATGGGGTTAAGTGACTTGCCTAGGGTCATACAGATACTTGTAAGTGTTATATGTCTGAAGCCGGATTCGAACTCAGGTCCTCCTGACTCCAGGGCGGGTGCTCTATCCACAGCGACACCTAGCTACCCCCTTGTTCTTCTTTTTATAGAGTAGAAAGCTGATCCTTCTTCAAAAACTAAGGCCTCCTGAGTGACAGAGAACAAATATGATCCTTCTTCTATCTGATGGCCCTTCACATTCTTGAGACAGCTATCATGTGACCACAAAAAAAAAAGCACACATCCATTTGTTCTTTTCTCCAGGTTAAACATCCCTGGTCTGTATATGACAAAGTTTAGAGTTTTCCTGTCATCTTGGACATCCTCCTTTGAACAATCCCATTTATTGTGTATTGCTCCCAATGAGGGGAGGAGATCCCTGAGATTTGGGACTAACTTCTTTCCCTGTTTCTATCCTCAGAACTTAGTATAGCACTTGGTAAATATTAAGTATTTACTAAAAGCATTTTTATTCATGAGTTCATTCATTCATTACAAGTAGGTAGACAGAGATCTGTGGCATACTCCAAATGTATCATAGGAAGAATAACTTGGGATTGGGATCATTTGGGGTCAAAGTTGCTGGCTGAGAGACAGATAGAAGAGGGGAGAACCAGGAGAAAGTATTCTCAATGGGGAGTTATTGGTCCTGGTAGCCAAAGTTCACATGTCAGTACCCCATTTCTAACCCCCTTCTCTGTCACCCCCAATAAGTGACTCTATTTGGGAGATTAGCATTAAAATGTCTCACCCAGTTCTCTATGGCTTTTTTCAGAGTGTGATTCTCTGGTATACAAGGACAAAGAACAATCAAAAGGCACACCCTTTTTCACAAACAAGGCCTACTTCAATGGAAAACCCATCTACCAATATGACAGCAATAGCAAGGAGGCAGTGCCGGAACCAGGATGGGAAAATGCTGATGACTGGAACCAGGAGAGTCAGTTTCAGAAAAGAAGAGAAGGTTTTGGAATGGAGTACCTGCGAGAAATCATGGCCTACTATAAAGATGTCAGTGGTGAGTGGATAAGTACATAGGGCAGGGACCATGGGAGCCAATGCCTAACCCTGGTAGACTTCTGCCTAACAGAGACTGTCCTCAATTGGCAGAAGGAAGAAGGGTATATAAAGGGGAGGAGGGAGAAAGGAGAAAAGGGGGAGAAAGGAGGAGCAACGACTGACCATAGGCCTCAAGGTGGAGAGAACGAACCCAGTGAGATGCAAAGATAGAACCATCCCTAAAACCCAACTTTGTCCTCTACCTACCTTCTTTCTGTTTCCCCTTTCTTGCTATTCTCCCCAACACAATGATCTCAGTGAAACATGAAGTGGGGATAGATCAATTCTTGCTTCTCAGTCATCAGCTTAAGTAAGTTCTCTCTCCTTACCCCACTGGGCATTTGGGCCTCTTACAGGAGGCACCACACTGTTGCCTGACATGTTCCTGATTCTAGGACTGAGAGAACGTTAAAACTGAAAAGTGCCTTAGAAATCATCTAATGCACCCATTTTACAGAGAGGGAAGTGATCATGATCTTGGTACGTTGGGAAGAACAATTAGTCAGGAGCCTAGATGGCTTCTGATAGTCCATCTATCTATAAATCATTGATCCACTGATCTGATGCAGATCAGTCAGTGGCAAAGCCAGGCCTGGCCTCATGATGTCCAATCACCCAGTCTAGTGCTCTTTCCATTTAACCACATTGACTGTTACTCTCCATTGTCCATAGCAGGGAAACACATACCAGGCCAGGTTAGCTGTTAGTATGGTTAGTCGTAGGTTGTAACAACTTGTTGGAATGCAAAGAGTTCTGGATTTGAATCTGAGAACATAGGGTAGAATGGTGGCTCTTTTATTTGCTGTCCTAAAAAGCTCAGGAAAATCATTGCCCTCCTCTGGGCCTCATTTTTCTCATTTATATATGAGAAGGGTGGGATAGGTTATGGTAAGGTCATTTCCAGCTCTAACTTCAACAATTCTTTTCTTTGCTGTTCTTTTCTCTCTACTCCTATCATCAGGAAAATGATGGAATGAGATCTAGAATGATGCAAGGAATTAGCCTAAAGAGAACTGCTCTCTTTTTAAACTTGCTTCCTATCTGGTTCTTCATGCCTTAGCTGCCTAAAGGAAAAGAACTGGGTGTTTGTTATAAGGAAACACTCTTTTCATTTGCAAGGACGCATGGATATATCTCAGGACTATCATTATTTGGAAACACATTTTTCTATACTTTAGAGAGTTCACCATACTTGGTGCTTGGGTGTTTCAGGTTTGCATGTCTTCAATGGAACTTATGGCTGTGAACTTTGCAAGAATGGTGCCACCAATGGATTCTGGCGTTATGATTATGATGACCGACCATTTATTGAGTTTGACAAGGAAAAACCAGCCTGGATCCCAAAGGAACCGGCAGCTAACATTATCAAGGAGAAATGGGAGGCAGACGGTTCTGTGACTCAGGCCAAGGAATATCTGGAAAAGACATGTATTGAGAATCTCAAACAATACCGGGATTATAAGAAGGCTAATTAGGATAAACCAGGTAATCTGTTTATATCTTATTGTGATACTCACCATGGCTGGGTCAATTTAGGGACTGGGGACACTTGGAAACACTACCATTAGAGGGTCTGAAGACATTTTAAAAACTGCATTGCCCCCAGAATATTTCCCCCACCACCCATTTCCACTAACCAGAGGACAGTGGTACTTGAAAATATGAATTCAAAAACCTCTTTAGTTCTATTGGAATTGAAATTAAAGTGAGGTCCCTCTCTACTGGGCATTGTGAAAGATACAGGGAAAGATGGAGGTACTCAGGCAAGATGGTGTAGGAAACAGAAAACAAGCCTTCCATAATAAGACTCAACCCTCCCTCTCTCTCTCCATTCATCAAATCTCAGATTGTCAACAGGAACTGCTCAACCACACTCCTGAGCTCTTTTTATTCAGCTTCTGATGGGAATCCACATACTCTCTCCTCTGGGCAATCAAGTTTCTTCAATGACCATTCCCCAAAACAAAGTTATTCCTATCTCTTTGCCTCAAAGTGGTCAACTCAAAAGAGTTCTGGGCCTGGAGTCAGGAAGACTTGAGACTGAATCGAATCCCACACACTTACTTAGGGCTGCTAGGTGGCACAGGGGACAGAGTGCTGGGTCTGGAGTCAGGACTTCCTGAGTTCAAATGTATCCTCAGGTACTTAGTAGCACTGTGATCCTGAGCAAGTCACTTAACCCTGTTTACCCCAGTTCTCTCGTTTGTAAAAAATGAGCTGGTTTTCTTTGCCACGAAAACCCCAAGTGGGATCACAAAGAGTTGAACACAATTAAAATGAGTGAACAACAACTCGTTGAAAACAATCAACCTGACAGGCTACCATAGAAATCCTGATGGCATGAAATAAGAAAAGAGAAATGCTAAATGAGATGGAAGAATCTTGGGAAAGAAGGAATGTGGAGGAAGTTGGTGGTGGGTGGGATGTTGTAGCTGAAGTTAAGAAGCTATGACTGGCTAGGAGAGCTGTGAAGACTCATTGTCAACTTCTCAGATGAAAGGGGACAGGAAGAGAAAGAACAGAAGAATAATAGAAGTAAATGAATCACTTGGTAAATAGCATGTTTCAACAGGTTGCCAAGATTGAGGGGGACTCAGGAATGGAGCTCCATCTTAAGCCCAAGAAGAGAATGAAAAGCTGTGAAGATCTTCATTACCATCCCCCTACTTAACAGTGACCTTTCACTGCATTTCCAGCAAAGAGAATTACATAGATCCAGATTCTTCCCTGTAAGAGCTTTCAATGTAAAATAAAAAACATTAAGCTGAACAACTAAATGTCTCATAAAACAAAATAAAAGTCATACAGTATTTACTTGTGTTTGAGGTGTTACTGTTAATGTGTGTGTGTGTAGATCTCTGGTTTCATTGGTCTAAAGTAATCCAGCAAATGAATTTGTTGTAACAATGCAACTGGTTCTGCCACTTCTGATATTCTAGTCTTGGTATTGAGTGTTAAGTGACTTGCCCAGGGTCACACAACCAGTAACTCCTAGCTCTAGGCCTGGCCATCCCCAGTCAACACTCAGCTCATGGAAAGGCCCTCACTGATCCTACCTTCCCTACAGCACTGTAACAAGTGTATTTGGATGTCTCTCCCCCTCTCCCCAGGTCATGAATTTGTAGAAATGGAGGACACCTCAGAGATCTTTTAGCCTAACTTCCATCTCAAACAGGCATTCTCTCTACAATGTCATTTTGGAAGAGAAAGAACTCCTTGTCTGCTGAGCCCCTCCCCTCCGCCCCATTAGCTCTCTTTGGGGGAGGGCAAGAATTTCCATTTGAAGTCTGCTTCCTTGTAACTTGTACCTGAATTCTAACCTCTAGTCATAGTTCTGCCCTCTGAAGTCACAGGGAAGGAGTCTATTCCCCTTTGCACATGACACCCCTTTTTCAATTATTTGAAAACAGTATGTCTTGCTTGAGTTTTTTCTCCTTTGGAGTAAATATTCCTCATTCCTTCAATTAACATTCCTGCTCTACTCACTTCTCTAGAATCACTGCAGCTTACTAATGCTTGTCCTAAAATGTGGCATTTAGAGCTAGCCACAATGTCCATGTGTAGTGTGAATCAGGCAGAAACGAGAAAAACTATCATACCCCAAGGCCCTCCATCTACACCTTATACTTAGGGGCATGCAGAATGATGTTAAGCTAGATTTGTTCTACTTTGGTTTGGTTATTGGGGGTAGCTATACTGACTCACCTTATTATCCAATACAACCCTCAGGTCTTTTTCATATGAATGCTTCTGAGGATATATATCGTGTTGGCTTTTTTTTCCTTTGGGAATTCCAGGTTCTCTGTGTTTTGTTTCCAATATGTAGAGGGTAGATTCCCACCCTGAAACTCTCATTGATCACTGAACTCTCATCTTTGGGAGTGGGTTCAACAGCATATAACAAAGGAGAAGCAAGGCTTCACAGCCTCCATGTCATTTCTGTGGAATATGACTCCTGGTCAACATGGATCTCTGAATTTGGTATGACTGGGGTCGCTGGTCATTGTCTTCTTCCTGCTCCTGCTTTAGGGACTACAATGTCTAAGAAATTTGGAAGTGGTGAGTAGAATTGTCTGGTTTGGGGTTCAGATACCAGAGAATAAAGAACTGGATTTGTAATCAGAGAAACTAGGTTATAATGATAGCTCTCCCCTACTGACTGGGTGACCTTAGGTAATTCATTCATTCTGCTGGGAGAAACTGCAGGAAAAAGACCATTTCGGCCCCCTCCCCAAGCCACCATGATATCCTTAAGATATAAGAATAAGAGTTAGCGTCTATTCAGGTCTGAAGTCACTGCTCTGCTCCTCCATCGCCCCCTGGCATGTGATAAATGGCATATTACAGGCAGACACACAGATATATCCACACCCACATACACAACCGCCCTATTATTTAAGAGGAACTACCCTCAGAAGAGGCCAGATAAAGGCACAATGGGACGGATGTGATAAGTGCTAGGCCACTTTCAGGAGGCACAGAACCTCCCACCTGGGCTGTGCAGAAGGCACAATCTGGGCAGTATGGCTGTGGTCATAGGCTATACTAGAGGACCAGAAGCAGTGTTTGCATAGAAGGACCAAGTAAGGGCCATAAGAGTTAACTACATGAGTCATTTAGCATTGCGAGTAATAAGTGGCCACCATGTCACTTCTCAAACAGCACAAGGCTTTGTTTGATAGTGGTGGGGAGGAGTTTGGGGCACTGAAGTCAAGAACTGCCATTCCCGTCCCTGTGAGGCACCACCCTAAGGTTCAGGGATGTGCAAAAGCAGCTGATCTAGGGAAGTTGGGGGCTACAGGGTAAAAGCTGAATCCTGTGAGGCTGACATCATGGAAGGCAAATCCCATGTTCAGCATCTCCAAGTGACCCTGTGAGAGACAGAATCAAGGTATGATGACCTTGTTCTAACTCAAGAAAGTAATTCTTATATTCTTACAATTGTGCATAATAATAATACATTTTGACAGCACCATTGCTTATGCTTTGCAAAATAGTTTCCTCATAGCAACTCAGTTCTGTTATACAGTCAATTCTCCTATATTGGGACATACACATTTCCCCCAAAGCATGGAGCTATGCAAAATCAGGCAATAAAAACCACAAGGCTTATGGGGAACGTGGAGTTAGGGGCAAAGTACTCAAAAACTTTCTTAGTGACACATAAAAAATGGATAAAAACATGCAACTTACTAAAAATGGTAGCACAATTTTGCGTGTTAAATGATTAAGAAATATATAAATATAACAATAAATAGTGTCAGTATCCATGGCCTCGGGCTGCTGCTTGGTCTGTGCCCCAGGGCTGGCAAGGTCTTTAGCAAGTTGGGCAATCTGGAGTTGGAGGCCATGTTGAAATGTGAGTGTGGGGGTTCAGACCAAATTTCCACAGCTCACAGCTCCTAGTGCACCATAAGATATATAAGAAATATGGCACTTTATTTGAAAAAAGACCAGAAGTTTGCTCATGAATGTGGTCAACAGAAGGGTTACAGCCTGTGAATAATTATGAAATGGTATAGATTTCTACATTTTCACTGATTCTCAATGAAGAAATCAAGCATAACCAAACCAAAATTCACCTTACCCTCAAAATGTTTCCTAATAATAACAATTGCATTAGAACAAATTGGCAATTTCAAAGCAAATATTATAGCAGAACTGAATGTAGGTAGCAATTCATATAATCCCCATAAACTCCTATTCCCAATTGAGGAAACTGAGTCTCTGGGAGGGCAAGTAGCCGGCCTGCCCATGACCACACAGCTCAAAAGTGTGTAAAGGAAGGTTCAAATCCAGGGCTCCTGACCTGAAGGTCTATCTTCTGTATTTTGTGTGTGTGTCTGTGTGTGTGTGTCTGTGTGTGTGTGTGTGTGTGTGTGTGTGAGTGGTTTTGTGATGTTTCTAAATAGTAAATAACGATCAATAAACATTAAATATTTACTATGAAGTAGGCACTGTGCTAGATACTGGAGATACAAATATGAAAAAAGAGAGTCTCTGCCCTCAGGAAGCTTACAACTGAATGGGGGAAAACAACACCTAAAAGGAAACAGAAGAGGGATGGGGTTACACCAGAGGGGTAAGAATTTGGAGGAGAAGGTGGTGCAGAAGTCAGAGACATCCCACAGTAGAGCAGCCAGGTGAGAAATGGCTGAACTCACCTCCCTCCTTCAATGGAGGCTTTGAGGTTCATTGCTCACTCTCCAATTAGAGGGCCAGAGTAGTGGTGAGATGAACTACCAAGGCTGATGGCCTTTTACAAGATGATAATGAGACCTTGCAGGATAATTTCCCAATAATTCCAAATGCCTCTTTGTGGCATTTAACCTTCACCACCTGGCTCCAAACTACCTTTCTAGCTTTACTATTTTTGGGGTTTTTTTTTGTTTGTTTTTGAGACAATTGGGGTTAAGTGACTTACCCAGGGTCACACAGCTAGTGTGTCTACGTCCAGATTTAAACTTTGGTCCTTCTGACTCCAGGGTTGGCGCTTTATCCATGGCACCACCTAGCTGCCTCTCTTTCCAGCTGAATAAAACTCAATTCAAAACTCCTCCTTTAAACTCTGCACTCCAGAGAAACTAACCTTCTTGCCATTCATCACACATGACTCTCAATCTTCCATCTCCATGCCTTTGCTTGACCTGTCCACATGGCTAGAACTCTTCCTCCTCATCAACGATTCTTAGAATCCCTGGTTTCCTTCAAGACTCGTGAAGCTCCACACTCGACACAAAGCATTTCCTCACAGTGCTTTCCCTCCCAAAATTACCTTGCATCTATTTTGTATGTACGTATGCATGTATGTATGTGTACATATTGTCTCCCTCAATAGAACAAAACCTCCTTGAGGGCAGGGATTATCTCACTTTTGACTCTGTTTCCTCCAATCCTGGCACATAGTAGGCTTTCAATAGATGCTTGTTGATAGATTTGCTGAGACATGTATCCTCTTTAGGCAGACAATGAGTCACCCCTGAGCACTAAGCTTGGATTCATGAAGGCCTATGTTTGCATCCCCCATCAGGCACTTATTTATTAGCTGCATAATTATTCTGAGCAAGTCACTTAACTTGGGAGCTCTCCCTTCTTGAGTATTTGAAAATGCAAGCCACATATAGTAAGAGCACTATTGTTTGAAGAACAACTGGGAATGACTTAAGTTACTCTGAGTATTAGAAATCTTCAAATTAACTACAAAGAACTCATGAAGGAAGATGCTCTCCTCTTCTAAGTATTATAAGTACTCAGATTAACTACAAAGGATTCATGAAGGAACATGATGTCCATCTCCAGAGAAAGAACTAATAAATAGAAGGATACACAGTATGGTTTTACACATGTTTGTGTATATGTTTACAGATATACACATATATGTATATGTATATCTAAGATACATAGATGTACACGCATATGTCAAATGGTGGCCTTCTCCAGTGCAGGGTTGGGAAGGAGGTAGCCAGACAGTTTGGAATGTAAATGTAAGCAAAAAAAAATTGAATTGAATTTTTAAAAATGCAAGCCACCTGAGGTAGGAAGAATGAAAGCAAGAGGTTTAGATGGTAGATGAGAACTAAAGGATTGTTCTAAATCTTTTTTAAAAATGAGAAAGTACCCAAATAAGACGAGCATGTCGAAATGGAAAAGGGTGGCAGGAGAGGTCTGTGACCCTGGGGAGGGCGCCCACCTAGAGCATGGCAACAGCACAAGCTGTGGGCTTTGGAGGCTACCATGATTCCAGCAGTGACAACAGCTTCAGGAGCTCTCAGCTCAGACATAGTAAGAGGTTCAAACAACTGGTTGGAAAGAGATTACAG